AGCTATACTCCAATCCACGTCTGTGGATGGCTCCATGGAAAGGAGTATAAAAGAAGCACAAATTAGACTCAATGGGTAATTAAAAAAAAAAAAAAAAAAGAGACACAAGGGTGGAGGGGTGGGAGGAGAGGTGAACGCAAGCAACAAAATATATTACATGAAATTCCCAATGAGTTAATATAATATTTAAAAAACAAAAATTTCATTTAATAAAAAACTAAGAAGACATGAAACTGTCCTCAACACATCAAGTGTTGACATGAAGGGAAGAGCTAAAGAGGGACTCAGATTTGCTTTCCTGTGTCCTTCATTGTTTCAATCCTGTCCTTTCTAAACAGCCAATAAAGCTCCCTGATCTCATTACAGCCAGCAAACACCATGCATCCAACCACAACCATGGACCATTTGGCTTCAGTCATTTCGAACCAATCTACTTAACCAGTTTTTCAGGCTGGAAATAATGGGAGATGTTTTATGAACTACATTTTGCATAGCACTTAGAATTAAAGAGATTTACATTTATTCTCTAATGTTGTGGTCTACAATGAGCTGAAGTTTTGGGGTTTTTTGTTTTGTTTTTTGTTTTGTTTGTTTGTTTGTTTAGAAAATCATTGTATTGCTGGCAATGACAGATTAATGAAGCAGCTCTGACCAAAATTATTTTAGCAGATTCTGATTAAGGAACTCCTCTTTTGAGAAATCCATAAAACCTTTTTAACCTTTAATTAATGGCACATATACAAATTATTAACAATACAAACAATGTGCTGACATCACAGAATTCTTTAAGAGTCCATAGAGTAACAGTCCATGGGGCTCCTGCCAGTGGGTCAAAGTCCCTTTGTCTTTTCTGGAAACACTGGTGTGGGTAGAAGATGGGATGCTTAGAAATCTCTCACCACACTTCTGCCTTATTCAAGTGTCCTAGCCAAGTCCCAGCACACACCACATCTCTACATGTGGCTGACAAGAGATTGTAAAAACATGTCACAAGAATCCTCTAACATCCTAAGATGCTCTTTGTAACTTTTAAATTTTGTTAATATTTAAGAAGTAAACCTAAGCTCGGTATTGGTGGCACACACCTTTAATCCCAGCACTCTGGAAGCAGAGGCAGGTGTATCTCTGTGAGTTCAAGACCAGCCTAATCTACAAGAGCTAGTTCCAGGACAGCCTCCAAAGCCACAGAGAACCCCTGTCTCAAACAAACAAACAAAAAATAAAAGAAGTAAATCTAATCCTGGTAGTGGTGGCAAATGCTGTTAATGCCAGCACTTGGGAGGCAGAGGCAGGCAGAACACTGAGTTTGAGGCCAACATGGTCTACAGAGTGAGTTCCAAGACAGCCAGAAATAAATAGAGAAACCCTGTCTTGGAAAACAAAACAACAAAAAGTAAACCTATGTATTTAGGGGGTGGTGCAGGTGGTTCTGGGTGTTGAATCTGGGCCCTTGTACACACTAGGCAGGTACTCTATCGAAGTACACACCCAGCCAAAGCATGTATTACAGTCCTAAGTAATTCTAACTTTAAATGAGTCCCATTTCACTCACTTTATGATTATAACTAGGTGTGCAGGGGTACGGTAGAGACAGCTCAGAGGTTAATGTATTTACTGCTCTTGCAGAGGACCTAGGTTTGGTTCCTAGAACCCACACTGTGGCTCACAGTCTTCCATATCTCCAACTCCATGGGAATCTCACAGTTACCTGGGCTGGTCTTGAACTCACTCCATTGTTCAGGCAGGGTTTGAACTCAATGTTCTTCTGTCTCATCCTCCCAAGTGGCTGTTACATCACCAGGCCAGGTGTTTCTTAAAGGCTGGTGTAATGATTTAATTGTGTGCACTGAAAGTATCACCTAACACCAGGTAAAAGTGCCCATTTCTGACCTCACAGACACTGATACAAGAATCTCTAAGGAAAGGATTCCAAGGTGCCCAAGCTATTCCTTTTCTCACAAAGTATGGGCTGAAAACAATTCTACTGTCACTATCCTCAAAGTTAAACCACAAAGTAGTTTTGAGACTATTTTAAAATTTCAACCTTTATGAACTGCACTTAAAATGAGAGGAGAGAATATCAGAAAAGATGAGATAAAATATATTTTACATCAATCTCAAACTTAAATTATACATAATATTAACACAGTGCTAACAAGGCAAGAATATGTAGTAGGACAGATACTGTAGTCAAGAATATTCAAGCAAAATCAAAGTGCATTAATTATAGAATTTTACAGAGTATAATCTAGTGGCATAAAAGCCGATATAAAGGTTGAGTTAATTTTCCAGGAAATTGTATATATGTAAAGAATTGAGTGCTTTTTCATCACTTAGACATTAATGCTCATGCATTGTACCCCTGGCACATTAATCTGGTTTTATTAATTTAAAAAGGTTCAATGCTTTATTTCACAAATTCCAAAGAATCAGAACAAAAGATTTTCTATGGAACTGGGTGTGGTAGCACACACCTGCAATCCTAGTACTTGGGAGTGGAGGTTGGAGGACTGCTACAAGTTTGAGGCCAGCCTGGGCCACATAGCAAGGCCATATCTCAAAAACAAAACAATGGCTTTTTTTTTTTTCATTAAAATCATTATAGGAAATACTCTTGAACAAAAACTTTAACACATCAAAGCTAGTAACAATGAAAAAGAGAAAAAGAAATATTCCTACCAAAAATCATATAAGCTAATCAAGGAGAAACACTGTGTAACCCCCTACCCCTATGGGTTCCAGGGACAGAACTCAAAAGACTGTCAGATTTGCATGAAAAACACCATTACCTCTGGAGACATGTCACTGGCATCTCATGACTTAGATGTTTTCCAATAGCAGAGGACAGCCTGAGTTCTGTCCCTGGGACCCATAAGAGTAGGAGGAATCAGGTCTACTAAATTGTCCTCTGACCTCCATACACATACCATGGCACATGTACCCACATACACATCACACACACACACACACACACACACACACACACACGACATGAAAGCTGAAAACAAAGGTAGGAACTTCTGTAGACCAAAAGAGGTGACAACTCCATGCAGTTCTTCTGGCTTTGAAACTGACCCAGAATGTACACATGTGCCTGCACACCAAGACTAGAAACAGTGATAGAATACACAAACCCAAGACAACAGCATTGGTTGCCTAACTGTGGTCACTAACCTGGGAAAATGTAAGAAGTGTTCCTAGAAAATACACAATAAGGAAATTAGGCACAGATGTTTCCAACTTATCTGAAACAGGGAGAACAAACACTGTGCTAACTGAGAAGGAGCCACCAATGGAGAATTCTCTGGAGGCTTTTAAGAACTCACTACACTGTTCTTGTAGCCTGCCTATACGTCTGAAATTATTTCAAACCAAAAATCAAGTAAAATATTCTGTAAGCTTAGACGAGAATACTAAAAATATAAAACTTTTAGGATATTTAAACTTCACCTCTGAAGGAAACATTTTTGTCTTAGTATTTTATACAAATCTAATTTTTCTTTCTATCAACCGCCTTCCTCTTCCATTGTGTTGGGTTTTGTTGGGGTGGGGAGGAATTCTTTCATTTTTATGTTATTTGGGATGGCATGTATATGCTACTGCAGATGTGTGGAGGTCAGAGGACAACTTTGCAGGGCTGGTTCTCACCTTTCACATCGAGGCAGAATCTATCTTGTTTCTACCATGCTATGTGTTCCAGGCGCATGGCCTGAGAGCCGGCAGGTATATGTCCTGTCCCTGTTTCCCATCTAGCCACAGGGAATGCTGGTAACAGATGCACACCACTCCATCAGGCCTTTTTATATGGGCCCCAGGGATCCAACTCAGGCTTCCACTGCTAGCATTACGCCCAATGAGCCTCTCTGCTCCTTTTTGTTTTTGTTTTGTTTTATCAATTGCATGCATAATCCAGATCTGTAGTATGTATCAGAAAGATGTCTCCACAGCCCAGGTGCTAGCTTGAAAATACTTAAACCGTTGCTTTTTGCAGTTACTCTTTCCTTCCATGGTCCCTTAATGGTTTCTTTCAGTTTGTTCTGAAGTAGCTCCAATATAGAATGGAGGTTAGACACACAGAACAAAAACCCTGCCACATCATCATATTAGTAACATGCTGTATTTTGTTAAAGTATATTTAATATTCCACAATGTGACCTAATAATTGTACCAAAGGGTTTCTGCTCAGAACAAGGAAAGACAAGAGAGGGCTAGTTGCCCCCCTCCTCAGTACTGAGCAAGTAAGAGGCTCAAAATAATATTTGGTAATTATTATTATTAATGTATAATTAAGAATATGGAGCCAGCGATGGTGGTGCATGCCTTTAATCCCAACACTCCAGAGGCAAAGGCAGACAGATCTCTGTGAGTTCAAAGCCAGCCTTGTGTACAGAGGGAGCTCCAGGACAGCCAAGGATACAGAGAAGCCCTGTCTTTAAACTCTAAAAAAAAGGAAAAAAAAAAAAAAAAAAAAAAAAGAAAAAAAAGAAAAAAGAAAAAAGTAAAAGAATCAGAGTTCTGTCCCTTGAACACACATAAGGCAGGAGGAGTCAGATCTACAAAACCATTCTCTGAAACCGTTTCTGGAAGGTTACTGAAACCATGTGGTAGCAGTATGATAAATAGATGCACAGAAATCTCAACATGCAAACACACCTCTGAAAGTAGACAGATCTCAGGCAACAAAGGCTTTCAGTAAGGACATGTTCATATTTATTTTGCCATTTTTTTTAAGTTGCAACTATCATGGCTCATTACTGATACTAAATCTGCATCACTACATTCAGAGTCTTTCAATTTGCATATTATATAATTTATTAAGTTATCAAGCTTACATAAAGAACTGACAGAATTTTAGTGACTGTTACCAAATGTAGCCTAATGTCACTGGTATCAAAAGTTCTTGATGTATATTTTTCAAATGTTTATGAACTTCAAATTCTATTTGATTCAAGCCCTGGTTCACAGGTTGGGATGACGTCAGGAGAAAATGAGAGGTGTAGTCACAGCATAGTGAGTTTCAATTTTTTTTTCCTCCTAAAATCAAACCACCACTTAGCACTTGATACACAAATCAACAATTTAAAATCGAGTGATTCTAGGGGATACCAAACTAAATCTAAAACTCACACATAAGTCACCAAATAGTTTAAGAACACACATTTATTAAAGTATGGTGATAATTCCTATTTCAAGATAGCCTATAACAAAAAGTGGAGAAGTATTATAGCTTCTTGGAGGGAGTGAAGATCAAACAATGCATGCTTTAGGAATATGTTTGAAGGTATTTTCCTAAGACAGACATTTAATAAATGTGAATTTCTCACACTACATCACCCAAAGTGGGGAAGTTCCCCCCAAAAATCTCTTCATCATAAGATTCAAGATGAAAACTGGCAAGGCAGTGTCACAGCAGAATGAGGAGCAGCACTGAGGAGTAACCTAATACACAGTGCTCATTCAAATAATAAGTAGCAGAGGAAACGTAAAATGCAGAGTAACAAAAATAGCACCTTTAAAGAAAATCAAGTCCTTGATACAAATCTGAAAATTGTTCTGAACTCCAAATCACTATATGAAAATTTTCTATAGGAGCCTGTTCCACACAAGCCAATCTGAATAGTGTGGTAGACGATGACGGCAAATAAATACAAGACAAAACACAGCCACAATGGCGTCTAAGTAGCTACAGTAGGCAAAGGGCTCCTTTTCTTATCCCATTGACAACCAGTCAATCAGTATATTTTACCATAGGAGCGAAACCTCTAAAGACCCTTTTTAATTAATGCAGGAGTGAGGTTTGCTCCATACGTCCTTCCATTAAACAAGAGGTCTCAGGGGTTTTGTCAGGAGACTTTTTTTGCTCCCCAGTGCAATTCAGAATAAAACGATTGTTTAGAGAACAGATTTGTACCACACAGGATTATCATACCATGGTTTTATAGGACACTTCCACAGGTCAAGGCAGCTTTCTCAACTAAAAATCTGGAAACAATAAGATTGGACATGTCTGTTAAGCAGTAGGCAAAGTAAGTATCTGTGGTTTGCCTAACCTCCTAAAATTTTTATGATTGAGAAAGCTGTCCTTGAGTGACCAATGCAAGTAAGAGTTAGCTTGCTCAACAAATAATGTCTACAGTCTAGATAAATCTTCAAAGAACATTTTCCTGAAGCCAAGGATGCTACTTGGTGACAGGGCACTTGCCCAGCATGTACAAGTGCCTTGACTGTGTCTCCAGCAACCCCAATCCTCTACCAAAGGAAAGGGTTTTCCAACTGCAGCATTTTTTACTCTGATATTTTTGTTTCTACTTTACACCAAGATCTTACCATAGAAAGTTATGTCCGCACTTCCAGATATTGCTATTAATCTTAATTGTTACCCTAGAATTTGAAACAATGGATCAGGGGCTCTAATACGTTATTAATCACTTGCTACAGTTTTGTGTTGGCTTTCTTTTATAAATGAAATATAAATGTCATTGGTAGGTATCATGTTAAATGAAACCAATTTCGACTTATTGATTTTAAAAGACTTAAGCATGTGTTGTAACATATATTAGTAAAGATAACAAAGTTCTTTTTTCTCAGGTAATATATCCAAATGATTCACCCGTTGTCAAAAACAGATGTGGCACAGAATGAAGACAAAGGCTGGAAAACACCACATCTTCCTTTATATTTCAAGAAACAATACAGTCCATGGTATTCATGAAGTTGTTTATTCTCGTTATTAAAACTTGGACTCAAGTAATCCGGTTTTTCTGGAAAAAGCACCTTGTTTGTGGGGCCGTTTAATCGTCCTTTTCTACAATCACCTCGCCATGAAGCACCTTTCTTCTTTGACGCAACATATGAAAATAGAGTTGAGGAAACACTTCATTGGAGAAAGAAAACAAAGAAGCGTAAGCTCTTGCTTTAAACTATGCTTGAAACCTGTAAAATGTGAGCAATCAGCATTTTATATAGGACTGCTACACATACAACCTCCCCCAGTGCTTATGGAGCTCGCCCTATGGACAAAAATGAAAGTCACATGCTATGTAACCCATAAACTGCTGGAGGTTTTTCTGTCCTAGAAAATTCACATACCTTGATAAATATATTTTCCATAAGAACCTAGTGATCATGTTCATTTTTAGAAATCAGTAACGCTGAAATATATCAGAACCAAGGAGAGTGGGCCCCACCCTCTGCTTTCCTCTGTTCTGTTAACTATATTCAGCTCCATGCCTGTCTACATGCAGGTGCATGTCCCAACGTGCATCCAACTTTCATCCATACCTACTATGAACAGCTGTCCCATGCTCTCAGGACAGCACACATTAGTGACACAGTTAACCTTTGGTTTAGGGAAGGGACTGGACCTGGGCTGTGATCCCAGATGTAGTGTCTAGAGAAGAGTCTTAACAGGTTCTTGATCAGGCACTCCCCACTGTTGAACTGAAGGGCTTCTGTCATGCACACACATAAACATATGCATGGATAATACCAGCTGGGCATATGATTATCTGCGTACCAAATTTGGAGGAAGTTTTGAGCCAATATTAACCAAGACTTGTTGTTGTTTTTTTCAAGACATTATTTCACTGTGTAGCCCTGGCATTCCTTGAACTCACTCTGTACACCAGGCTGGTCTCAAATTCACAGAGCTTCTACCTCCTGAGTGCTGCGATTAAAGGCACAAGCCACCACACCCAGCTGAATCAAGACTGTCAATCACAGCATAAAGGCTGATGGCTGAACAAATATATGATAGCTATAGACTCCAAATACAAAAGGTAAAGATCTCCCAGAATGACAAGGAAATCGATCACAAAAAAATTTCAATATTTTCTCCAAGCAAACTTGGGGAAAAATATATTTTCAAAAAAAAAAATCTAATTTAGGTTAAATACTACAGAATTTGCAATGGTTTTAATTTTTTTTTATTTATGAACTTCCCACCTTAGTATATCTAGATGTCTAAACATTCAGGTCATATACACTTAAAGTAAACTGAACAATTACAATGAACTCTCCTATAAAATCCTGAGTAGTTTGAGAGAAGGCATTGCGTCTTGGGTTTTTAAAACTGTTCACTGAAATTCTCCCACCTGGAATGCCCTCAGTGAGTGAGAAACACACATTCTCAGTACTAAAATAAACACTCAAATATTACTTTTAATTATCAAAGCAAAATAAGTTGATTGCTCTAGGAATATCAGTAAGGATGTGGAAATACAGGTCTGTGATGGACCAATCTTGGACAAGAGGGACCTCAGTGAGCATAGGTACAATGAGCTAGGAAGTTGCTACTGGCAGAGGTCAGACTTACATCTCCCAGGACACCTAAAAAGCAGGCATTCAGAAGTTATAGGTTGGAGCTTTAAATCACCTTCTCTTAAGGTCTTGGTTTCTGTGGAACAGCTTCAGGGATCACAAGAGAGGTCACCACAAGAGAGGTCACCCCTGTGACCACAAACAGCTTACAGGACCACTGACTGTTTCTGGCAGGGGTGAGGCAAACAGTGTCTGTCCATATTGTTTAGCTCACCAGCACTGGCCAGACAGTAAATCAGGCAGATGAAAAAGACAAGGAGAAGGCATCCTCTGAACAATCTTAGTCTATTTTGGCTTCAGAAACCTCCAAAGTTGGAGCTCTCACAGACTGCCCAAATTATATACACAACCCCATGAAATAAGAGGCCTTGTATAGCCTGTCCATAAAGAGTTTACTTCCCACTGGTATCCACCTCTAATTTTATAGAGATAAATGAATCTTGTTGACTTAAAGTACCTAAAAGAAGAGAATGAGGTCTCATCAACTCATTGAAGCTGTTGGAAATGGTGAGAAATTAGTGGAGAGGCTGAATTATTCAAAATATTTTAAGTAGCTTTATTCCTGTCAAGTACACGGAACAACACAAACAAGACCAAAAAAAAGTACTTGTAATAAATCTCAGGTACGCCAAATGAACAGAAATGATCTCAAGTTTTCTTGATAGAATGCTTATGATTCATACACAGAAATGTAAATGCTTGTCAACGGTTCTATTGATGCATGCTTTTGGGATGATTTAGTTTTTCTGTTAACTATACCAGGCATATTTAAATGCTTCTGAGAAAGCAATCATTTGAATATTAATTTAGTTACCTTTTCATAAAATCAGTTAAAAAAAAAAAGAAAAGAAAGAAAAAGAAAAATGTATGGCTCACTCCCCTTCAGTTATTCTAAAGACAGACAGGTTAATGCATTTTGAGCAATTATTCCCCTTCACCCTTGTTTTTTTTTTTTTTTTTTTTTTTTATTAGTTTAGCATGGTATTCCAAACACTTGCATATCATACATTCAATCAAAATGCTAATGAGCCTATACTTACATGGTATATATGAGGCCATGGTTATGAGAAGAAAATAGTAGTAGTCAAAAGAGACATTATATTTGTTAGGAAGCCTTACTGAAAACATTCCTGACTTCTTCACGTAAGGCAAGGCAGCATATATTGTGAGAAGTTCCCCAGCAACTCCAACAGGATATAAGATGATAAAAAAATTATATCTGGAAAAAGAAAAGACAGATGATAGTTTTTCTAGGTCAGGTCTTATATTTTATAGTACATCTCTTCTATTACTATTGTATTTAAACTTAGAAAGCTCTCTGTATGCATTTATAATATCACACACAGGTTGTATTTTCAATCACCCTTTTTCTAACAGTAATTCCTATTCTAAATGGAATAAAATAAGAAGTCAGTTTACTCTATATAGTTTTTAAATATTTTTATAATTTATTTTAAAGTATATATGCATATTTTGTTTGCCTGTTTTGAGATGTGGGAGTGTTATATTGTCCAGGTTAGTCTTGAACTCCCCTGGCCTCAAGTGATCCTCCTGCTTCAACCTCCAAGTATTTGACATCACAGATGGGGCCACCATGCCTAACAACACAGCTCTTTTTGTTTCGTTTAAATATTAAAATAACCGCTTCTTTGAGGTATACAGTTGTAACTGCTCCTTTTTTCCCTATAGCTGGTCATTTACTGATGAATGCTGACCTAAAAAGGACCAATTAAGACCTAGTTTGATATTTTATGCTTCAAGAGACTAAAGCTGTTTTAGGTTATTTGAAAAACTGTGATTAGTGATTAAACACATTACTGAAGGAAACTGACAGCAGACAGCATGACTTCAATCATCAGCTACTAGTAATTAGTACACTGTGTATAGCCACCTTCACAAGCAAATTTTTATAGGAAAAGCATTTGCATTTTTATCTAATCCCCCAGTTGCTATGAAAACACATCTATAAAGAAGAGTCATATAACTCAGCTGGTCCAGTGCTTGCCAAGCATTCAATGGAGCTCTGAATTTGATCCCCAGCATTGCATAAACCAGACATGATAAAGCACACCTGTAATGCCAGTACTCTGGAGATAAGAGACAGGAGGAGCAGAGGTTCAGAGTTATCTTTCCCTACACATGGAGTTCAAGGCCAGCCTGAGATGCACAGCACTCTGGGGGGGGGGGGTACCAGAGGGATGTGTGGGGAGTGTTTAGAGACAGACAAAGAGGAGATAAAGATGATAGATACACAGATGATAGATAGATCACCTGATTCCCATGCACCATAAACACAGGATGAGAGATGGGTAGAACTACAGAGTAAAGAAGGGAAAAGAGCCCTTTGCTGTTCCTATTTATTCTGCCCTTGCTGGTTTATGCTCCGGTGGTCTTCCAGTCTTGTGTAATTTGTTTATTATATAATTTAATAGTTTCCCACTTTACCTTATAAGATCCTATAACCAAACATTTATAATCCCTTTTCAAACAAAATAACTAATCTAATTTGTTTTCTTAACCTAATGAAGCTTTCTAGTGAATTTTTTAATAGTATTTTTTTTTCCTTTTTGTTTTATTTGAAACAGGGTTTGGAGCCTGGCCTGGAACTCACTCTGTACACCAGACTGGACTCAAACTCACAGAGATCTGCCTGCCTCTGCCTTCCTCCTGAGTGCTGGGATTAAAGATGTGCACCACCACAGCACAGCAATAGTATTTTTTTTTTTTTTAAGTATCTTCACTCCCAGGCTGGTAACATGGTTCAGTGAGTAAAGTTACTTGCTACAAGGCCTGATGTGATGACCTGAGTTCAATTCCCAGGATCCACACAGTGGAAGGAGAAAGCTAACTCATTGCAAGTTGTCCTTTGACCTTCACAGGAGCATCTGGAATGTATAAGCACCCAAACACACACATACACATACACACACAAACACATACACTCACACACAAACTCTCTCTCTCTTTCTCTCTCTCTCTCTCTCTCACACACACACACACACACACACACACACACACACACAAACCAATGGACAAAATGTAATTCTTTTTTGTTTGTTTGCTTTATTTATTTATTTGCTTTTTAAGACAGGGTTTCTCTTTGTAGACCAGGTTGATCTGGAACTTGCTCTGTAGACCAGGATAGCCTCAAATTCAGAGATCTGCCTGCATGTACCTCCTAAGTGCTGGGATTAAAGGTATTCATCACTACCACCTGATGTCACTGTTAAATTAAATAAATAAAATAAAATAAATAGTTGAAGCCCTTAAGGTCAGTGAAAATTCATGAGGTGGGAATAAATTGTGTAATTTATTTTACCTTACTTGCACTAACTATGGGAATCCTTGTTACCCCAAAGATTCCCAATTGTTACCTAAAATTTCTTAGAGGAAATGTACTTCTGAAATTAAACTGGAAAAAAGTATGAAATCATAACCCAACATAAAATTATCCAGGAAAACTTTCAACTCATAAATAGAATCAAAATAGTAAATAGTGATAGTTGGTCAAATTATAAATAGGAAGCCATTTCTAAAGTGAAGTTTTACTTGAGAATAATGGTTTCCACATTTTAACTAAAATATGAATATTATTTTAGGTTGTTTAATGAATATTACATAGTTGTAATTTTCAAGAGTGTTTGGATGTGAAATGTGATTACTGATGATTTTGGCTGGGTGTGTGGTGGCACACAACTTTAATCCCAGCAATTCAGGAGGCAAAGGCAGGCAAATCACTGTAAATTCAAGGCTAGCTTGGTCTGCATAGTAAATTCTAAGCCAGCCAGGATGACACAGTGACACTCTGTCTAAAAAATATCATTGATGATTATAATTAAATGATACATATAGAAAGACGCATATTTCAATATTGAAAGATTTTATGTAAAACCTTTTGTTGTTATTGTTCAATACGGTCTCATATAATGAAAGCTTGGTTTGAACTCACTAAGTAATAAAGGCTGGCCCTGAACTCCTAATCCTCCTGCTCAACTCTGGAACAGCTGGGACTATGAGTATACACTACCATACCCAGATATTAAACCCTTAACACTAATGAAATGATAGAAGATTACAACACAGTAAGTTGAAACATGAAATAGCAAAGTTCTGTACTTTTCTAGAAATTTGTAGCATGCAAATACACTCCAAACAAGAGACTCGGACACTAAAGGGGCTAATAGGTCAGACCTATGCAAATTTTGTAAACACAGTTCATGAAGAGAAATGATGTGCTGAGTTAGTATATTTAAAAGAACCAGAGGTTCCAAAGATTATCATGGAAAACGGTATAGACATGCATTCTAAGGTTAGGGCCAACAGCATGCAAAGTTTTCAAACCTCTTCAACTGCCTAATCCTTAAATGTGAATATATTTTCATATAGAACAAGAATAAAATGAACCTAACACAAAACAGTGCATCCTTCTCAAGGGAAACAATGAATACAGATAGGATTTTAGAGCATTTTATTGTCCGTAAAACCATAAGTCACAAATGTCTAAAAAGGAGCCAGAAGAGTATTTTAAAAGTCTGAGTCTCAAAAATACAATCAAGAGTGACACCCTGTGTAATGGGGTTATGAACAATTTTTAAAGTTTCATTTTCTTCTTTTGTATTTATTCATATATTCTAGTAATGTACTATAGAAGTGATTGATCCCTGAATGTTATCATTAAACATGGACAATACATGAGTTTTATTTATGTTTTGTATGCACTGGTGTTTTACCTGCATGTATGTCTGTGTAAGGGTGTCAGATCTTGGAGTTAGACACAGTTGTGAACTGCCACATGGGAGCTGGGCATTGAACCTGGGTCCTCCGAAAGAGCAGTCAATGCTCTTAACCACTGGGGCACCTCTTCAGCACCCATAAGTGAGTAATAAAAAAGTGATTATCTAAGAATATGTTAGGCTTCTACTATATGGGGATCTAGAGCAAGTATGAGAGCAGCTAGCTATTAAGTATGCATTAACACACATCAGAGATTGTTTTGTTTTTAAGGCTTGGGACTAATTTAACCAGGATGCTTTGAACCCACAGAAATCCACCTGCCTCCACTTCCCAAGTGTTAGGATGAAAGGCATGTGCCACCACCTGGGCTTAAATATCAGCTTTTTAAAAACAAAAATAAGAGGTATGATGTTGTCTCTAATATCTTGTGGCATTATTTATAGTATCAGAAAGTTGGGAAGGATCTGAAACCTATCAATAGAGATGTCCACTGTTTTGTTCAGTCAGCATGGAACATTGTGTGGCAGTATCCCTAGAGTTGAAGTACTAGACTGACACTCACTCATGCTGGTTTGAAAATGTACAAACAAGGGGCTGCCTCAGCAGTTAAGAGTGCCTGCTGCTCTTGAAGAGGGCCAGAGTTTGGTTCCCAGTACCCACATCAGTGAGCTCACAAACACCTGTAATTACAGGGGAATCTGATGCCTCTGACCTCTTGGGCACCTGCACTCACACACAAATACACATGTATGTATATAATTAAAAATAATAAAAATAAATCTCCACATAATAATACTTTAGAGAAATCAGTTAGCTAGACTTTAATATAATTCCCAAAATGGATATGACACTTCCCAAAACAATAAAATCAATGACCAACTAAGATTACTTAAGGATATGATATGTTGGGAGGTATTTTTACATAAACTCTATTTTGGTATTATTATTTGCCTATGGCCATTAACACTGAGCTTTTAGAATATAGGCTAGAACATGGCTACTAACTCAAATGGCAACATTCTGGCATCATGGAGCTGTGACACAAACTGTAATTGTCCAGTGTTAGCTCAGCACACAAAGTTAGCATGCATGGGGCAGTGAGGTACTAAAAGGCAAGACATTGCCACCTGGCCCATTTAATGAAGTGCGGCAAGTGGTCGAGAAGACTGAATGTGTAGAAGGAATAGCGAGTGATCTCAGTCACAGTCCAGGAGACCAGAAAAAGCACCACGCTCTCTTCGTTCTGGATCTGCAGGTTAGAGAAAGCCACAGTGCTGTTGAACCTTTGGGCTTTTTGTTCAGTGAGATAAGCATTTCCCTTTCTATGATTTGTTGCTTTTTATTATAATGGAATACAGGATACAAAGCAGTCACCATTGTGTAATTGGTTATAAATATGAACCTTAACTGTGTCCTACAGTTGGAATGGCTGACTACTTACTGATATTCCCCCCTCATTCCTCAGCACAGCCAGCAAGTGTAACTTCCCAGGACAACACTGTTGCCTTGAAAGCTGAATGGGAACAATTGACCCTTCCAACTTCCTATTAGTCATTAACTCTACAACCTCTACTGTAATACTATGGTGGTTTGAATAAGAATGGCCCCCATAGGCTCATATATTTAAAGCTTGGACTCCAGCTAGTGGAGATGTTTGGGAAGAAGTACAAGGTATGCCCTTGTTGGAGTAGGTGTGGCCTTGTTGGAAGAGGTGTGTCACTGGGGAGGGGGGTGGGCTTTGGAGTTTCAAAAGCCCATGCCAGGCCCTGTCTCTGTCTCTCTCCATCTCTCTCTCTTTCTCTCTGCACCAGGTCTGTCTGCTTCCTGCCCTGATGATAATGGACCAACCCTTTGAAACCAAGTTAAATGCTTTCTTTTATAAGAGTTGCCTTAGTCATGGGGTCTCTGGATAGCAACAGAACAGTGACTAAGACAGATATCAACTCTCTAATCTGGTCGTTCACCTTTGTCTCTCAATTCAGGCCTTATAATGTCTCAGCTGGACCATTAAAACCATTTTCCAAGTGGTTTTTTCCTGTCTTTATTCTCCTCTCAAATGAAAGTTTTCTTAAAAATAAAATAAAGCATATAATAACAATAATAATAAAATCAGATAGGCCATATAATTTGAAATTTAACATTATCTCTCATTGCTTAACAGGTTAAAAAGGCAAATGCCGACATCTGAACACTACATAAAGATCCTTACAACCTGAGCTCTGCAGTTTCTCAGCCTCTCAGTTTCTGGCTATGCTGATGCTATACTTCATCCAGACAGTGCCTCGGAACTTCTGTGTCTTAACACACGCTGATCCCTCTAATTAGAATTATAATTTCCTATACAAACCCTTTCTCATCTCTTGAGAGGCAACTAGAAGATCACAGTTCCTGCAAACTCTCCTGTTAAGGGTTCAATTTAAAATGTCCCCCACGAGTTCATGTGTTGAACATGCCTGGTGGTGACACTCCTTGGGGAGGCCACGGGAACATAGCTGGTGGGACATAGCTGGAGGACACAGGTGTCTTTGGCTAGACCTCTTAAGGTGACACCTGACCCCCCGGTCCCTTATTCTTTTTGCCTCCTGTCTACTATGAGCTGAATGACCCATATCATGTTCCCACCACCAGGATGCTCTCTGTCATCGTGGTTCATAATCAATGAAACCAATGACTATGTGCTGGAACCTCTGACCTAAAGTGAATCTCTTCACTGTTAAGTTGTTCGTGTCAAACATAGTTTCACAGCAATTCAGTCTAAACCTCTTCCATGCCTGCTCAGCTACTTGCTTACCTTCCCATTCTGATACTACTCTTTGGATTAACGCTCATTAGTCTCAACTGAAATTTTTCTCACTCTTACACATCTGTTAGTGCTCAGCTTATATATACCTTGTCTCCTATGGAAGGCTTCAACCACTTCCTAGAAGAGACTAAATTCTAGACAGACAATGTAATGCACACTGTGCTCTTGTCTCAAACACTTACAACAAATGCAGTTAAGTCAGCATTTGCTCTTCTCCATCACAGGCTTCAGAGAGTAAGAACCACGCTGACAGCCATGTCCCCAACAGTGTCAGGCACAGAGGGGCTACATAGCTACTACCTCCTGCATGGCCAATGTGTCCCAACATCCAACATAGTGACAGCTGTAGTTGCCTTATTCATTTCTGGAAATCCAGAAATTAGCACTTCAAAATGTATAGAGTATGTTCAATAAATGTTGAAGTAACTGGGGAGTTGCTGATAAACGTCAATGGGAAGCTATTGTTGGATAAAATCAAATAGTAAAATCAAGGGATAGAGCCTCAAGGGAATGAAAGACCCAGAGGTTTCTTTCCCCCCTTAGGAAGTCCCCATTTCTAACTTCTCTTTAATAATCCCCCTATAGGTAGGGTTGGCTACCAGACTCTTTCTTCTCCCTCCTTCTTCACATTCCCTGTAGTTCTGCCTCAATTATTATATTCATTTGCTGCCTGGAATTGTCTTTCTGCTGTTCTGTCTGTGGTAGTCCTGCTTTTAAACTAGTTAGCAACTAGTGAACACTCGGGCTGCACTCAGTACTGTCTGTACTACAGTCCTGGTTAAGGGACAGGTGGTTCATGTCACTTGAATGAAAGGTCCCAGTTAAGAGGGCCAAAGTACAGAGTAGTGAGAGGGCACAAAGTCAGTGATGTGTCCCCACACAGACAGGAGGCCAGTGAGGCTCAGAGGAAATGGAGAGGAGGTTAGGTGTCAGTCCCAAAGCACAGAAGAGACCAGAAAGGAATCTGCAGGATGGAAAGGGGGCCAGAGATCTGTCCTCAAGTGGACAGGAGATACGGAGGCTGTCAAGAAGGTCAGAGGGGTTGAGCTGAGAAATGTTTCTGACATGGGTTTAAAAGGCCCAACATCCTCCAAGAGACTTGCATGGTGTTTGTTTTGTCTACATGGTTGAAAGCACTAATTAGATTCAGTAATTAGGTCTGTCTGCTGTCATGTCTCCATAAATAATGTGTCCTTTTTTTTTTTCCTCTAAGTTCTTCAACTTTAACTTTCAAATTTTATTTTAATTGGCAAATTAAAACTGCACATATTTATGGTACATAACATGCTGTTCTGAAATATGCATGCATTACAGAATGGCTAAATGAAGCTAATTAACTTGCACTTTACCTTGGCATATTTCTTATTTATTTGGGTAAACACTTAAAATCTACTGTCAACAATTCTCAAGTAGACATTGTCATCATCTGTAGTAATCGTGTACAACAACTCACTCAAACTTCCTCTTCCTGTCTGAGATCTGTATCCTCGGATTTAAAATTTTTAACTTTTAATTCAGGTCTTTTACATTTGTTCAGGTGTGTGGAACTACATTTACTTTTGCCTGTTCCTATGACACCTTATGCTAAACAAGGAAAAGCAAATGAGTCATTTACACTGATGACTTCAAAGATTAAAAAATAATAATAATAATGACTTGGTTACAAAGAAACGTCATAGAAAAGAAAAAATTCGGTTGGATGGAAATGAGTGTTCACCTTAACAACCCAAAATGCAAGAGGAAGAGATGTTAAAAACTAAAGGTGACAGGACTGCCTGTCTATGTCAGTGGAGAATGATATTTAAAGCCCACCTCCTCTTTACCCAGTCATTCTGCCCCCCAAAACATGGCAGTATTAATAGTTTAGGTTTCTAAGAACGAAAAGCTCCCCTGTGGCTCAGGTAGAAAACATGTTTGCATCACTTACGGGTTTTATACTGTGAGTAATGAGCCATACCATGAAAATTCTTGAACTCACTTGGACCCCTGTCACAAGCACAGAAGTGGGCACAATTCCTGGAAGAGAAATCAAGTTAATGATTGCCTCAAAGCAGTTTATAACAGTAGTATAAAATTAAAGCAAAAACTCACCAATCAGACAATGGACAACCTGTAGGGAAATTGAGAAATCACAAGTCAATAATATGATCATTAAATACCATCAGCAGTGGTAGCAAACAAGCCCACAGGTGTTACATAATTAGCAAATTAGGATATGCACTGTTCAACTTAAGTTTTTGCAAATAAACACCATTGTAGACTAACAACATATTGAAAAACTTACCTCAAGCAAAGCAAATGTTTGGAAAAATTTAAGTGTCTTCTGAATGCTTTTATATAAACCTCTGTGTGTTCCTTTTTCCATATAAAAGCGTACCATAGCAATAGCTAGAACCAACCACCTAGAGAAAATAAAAGTATTTTACAAAGTTCTATCAAAACCAACATTACTGATAAATATGCATGCAATTGTAGCAGCATTGTTTACTATTAGCAATAGCTAAAAGGTGGATGCAACCAGGCATCAATCAGTGACTGAACAGATACTTTATATGGCCAATCAATACTTTGCTTCTACAGCACTAAGTCAATCTACAATGATATCTAAATTCCAGCCCACCTTTTTTCATTCATTTTGCTTTCTGAAATATTCCAATATTAATATTTTAGATTCCTGTCCATGAGACACTTTCCTTTAGGCCCAGAATATTATTTGGACTTCAATACATGCTATGACACAGATGGATTCTAATGACACTGTGCTGTGAGAAATAAGCCAATCACAAAAGGACAAATACTGTATTTCATTTACACAAGACACCAAGAGTTATCAGGGTCACAGGCGTGGAAAGACTGGTGGTTGCCAGGAGCTTAGAAAAAGGGTGAATGAGAGTTAGTGTTTAATGGATACAGATACAGAGTTTTGTTTTGCAGGATGAAGTTAGGGATATGAATGGTGATGATGGCTACACAAACTGAATGTACTTAAAGCCACAGGACTGTGTATGTTACAAGTTTAAGATGGTCCGTAACATGTGTGTTTACCTTAATCTTAAAAACTCACACTAAATCTGTTGAAGAAATGCCAAAATCTGTACAATAATATTTGTGTTTTATCATTCTGAGTTCATTATCTTAAAAAAAAAAACCCAAGGCAAAAGATAAAAAATGACATTCTTTAGAATATGATTCTAGAATATATATTCTAGAATAACAGAATTGTGTATTCTATAAAATATAAGTGTGTCAACTACTAACAAAACAATGGCTAGAATATTTAGCAATTAAGCTGACGGACTAATGGAAGTAGCTGCCGGTACTGAAAATGAGATTGTCAGAGCATTTCATAATTACATGATGCTGTGGTTCCAGTTTCTTTCTATTTCTGTGATAAAACATTCTGATCAAAAGCAACTTGGGGAGGAAAGGGTTTGATTCAGCTTATACTTCCAGGCCACAGTCCATTGTGAGGGACATCTGGGCAGGAACTGAACCAAACACCATGGAGGAATGGCTTCCTGGCTTGCTTCCTTGCTTGTGCTCAGCTAGCTTTTTTTTCCTTAGAGAGTCCAAACCTCCTTACCTAAGTATAGTACTTCCCACAGTGCATTAAGCGCTCCCACATTAAGCCCTCCCATCAAATAAGACAAAGTCCCTCAGACATGCCCACAGGCTAATCTGATCTAGGAATGTCTCAGTAGAATTTCTCTTTGTCTAGGTGACAAACAAACCAACACAAGTCTCAAAATAAAAAGCTGTATTCACATAAAAAATACAGTATATAATTTGTGTAGGCACACACAGAAACCTTTAATCAAGATCATTTATCAATCTTCACTAAACAAAACCAATGGCCATGATATAGAAGAGATCCATACAGAAAGGATATGAGCCTGCTTTCAAAGATTTGCTGTTGTTGGAAACAAGGTTTTCCTATGTAGGTCTGGCTGGCCTAGAACTCATGGTGTAGACTAGGCTGGCCTCAAACTCACAGAGATATGCCTACCTCTGTTTTCCATAAGCAAGGATGAAGGATAAATGCCACCACTCCCAACCAAAAGTTGATTTTTCAAAAGAGGAAAGAAAGGAACATATTGACCCTTGTCAGCTTAAAGATACCTTAAATATATACTCTCTTCCATGAGCTAACACTTAAAAGCTGCACTGTGGACAACAGCTTTCTGGTACACACACCTTACTCTTCCTATAGTTCCTGGTGAGAGCTAACTTCTTCCTGCTCACTCTCCACTCCTCAAGTTTAAGAAAGTTGTTTTGTCAGTAGCTTTTAAAAGCCTGGAACATTGCACCATGGACATGCATAGATATCCTAGGCTTTAAGATAGGGAGGTATCAATGTGTACAGTCAAATGGATTTCTGAACTATATGATTATCATAGCTTAATTTTTTACTAAATGGCTTAAATAGATTCCTACAAAGACAGCAGAGACTAGTTTAGACTTGACAGAATGGAAGGACAGAGGGACACATGCAGGCCCACTCTCCCCTCCCCCGGCTCAGGATAGGACATACTGGACACAAAGCCAAGCAAATGTCTAAAACCATCAGACTTCTGAGATGCAAAAATATTGATTACAGCAAAGACAGTGAGTGGACCTTCAGACCTATGTGTCAGACATGGCCACATACATAACCAATGTTTTGTCCTTAAAGTATGCTTCTGAAGGATTATTCTCTTTTCCTGCTGAGGAAGCAGTCAGAGGAACACACAGCTGAGTCAGCTGAGACCTAAGGCCACTCTCTCTGAGTGAAGATGTTAACTTACTAAGCTTACTGCTGAGGACATAGCTCAGTGGCAGATAGATGAAACCCTAGCCTCAGTTCTTGGCACTTAACAAAAAGGGTACTGAACTTGGAGCAAGATAATGGGCAAGACTGGAATGAATCCTCCGCAGTCCCCAAACCTCTGTTCTACCACATCACAGCTTTATTTGATTCAGCTCATGAGTCCGTAAGGGCCATTTCTGGAATCAGTACTGAGCTAACCAAAAGCGTTGGTTTGACAGTGTCTTAGTGTACCTTCCCATATCTAACTGTAAAGACTTTATCCACTTCAGTTCTAAGTCCCCACGGTTCTAATAAAACCAAAGAGTTAGTGAAGGATATTCATCCACATTTTCCATACACCTGTCTTTTGGAGGCAGGGACAACTTAGCCACCTAAAAAATTTAAATTTGAAGGCAGTTACTACGTTAACACAGAAGTCATCAAAGCATTTATGTGATATTTCAATTTTGATACTGTCCCATAGGTGGCAGCATCGTACCAGCTACAGGCTACAAAGCACAAAACAAATGAATGCACTGCAATTGGAAAGGACCATCAGGGCATTTATTCTGACTCTATCTGCTGCTGTTCAGTAAAAATGTCAAGACCTTATGTAAACTAATCAGAGCTCATTTCCCAAGCATAGCCTCACAAAGAATGCCCAAAGTTGCTTTAAAGGCCCTATAGTTAGCCAACTTTGGATGTCAGTTTAGCAATTAAAAAAGTCATAAGCAATGGGAATTTCTCTCATTAAGAATTAGTTTGGGAGGTGTTCTATTCTGTTTTGCTTTTTAAATGTGTCAGGGATATTGACTGCATGAACTCAAACAGATTCAATCTGCCCTTGAAAAACCTGATTCTCAAGCCAGGTGTAATGGTGCACACCTATAATGCTAGTACTCCAGAGGCAGAGGGAAGAGTATAGCTTCAAGTTCAAGGCCAGTTTGGTCTACATAGCAAGTTCCAGGCCAGCCAGGACTACATAGTGAGACTGTCTCAAACCAATCAACAAAACCACCAGATTCTCTATGGGCAACAACAAACAAACAAAAACTGTTGCAAAGAAATTTTTGCTTGTTTGATTTCCCCCATTCATTAATTCATCAATTCATCTTTCAACAAGTATCAATAAGACAGGTAGATGCTAAGCTATATACTAGGGACTAAAGATAAATAGGACATGATTTCTTTTGCCCTGGGCACTAAATTAGCAAGTAAAGGTAAAAGGACAGTGCTGTGACAAGAAACATAAGCCAGAATCTACAAAATGAAAGGGTCTTTTTATGTCACTCTGATTGCAGTGTCCTTGAGAAGCTTATGTCTTTCTTCTAGCTATCTTCTTGCAGCTTCTTCTTCTTCCTCTTCATCCTCCTTCTTCTTCTTCTTGATTTCTTCGACACAATCCCTGTTCTTTGAACACTTAGTTATCTACATTCATATCTCCTTTGGTCAATCTTGTTTCATGCAAGCCTCTACTCCTTATGCTCCCCTGATTAATATGACTTATATCCATGATACTTTCTAATACAGTTCACAGTGTTTTATTGTATATCTCTACAATCATTTTCTTTATAAGTAAAACTAGAATCCCAGTACCCTACATTAAAAAAAAATACCTTCAGGCTGTATAAAACATTGAGGGGCTAGCAAGATAACTAAACGGATGCCTACCACTAAACCTGGTGACCTGAATTTGACCCTGTAGTGGAAGAAGAGAACTGACTCCTGAACATTATCCTCTGACCACATGAGCATTACATGAAGCACACACACACACATGCATGTACACACACACACACACACACACACACACACAGGTAACATTAAATGTTATTTTAATAAAACATGGAGCTAAGGTATAAATACCCTTAATTGTCTCATTTTTAAAATCATAATTGGAACAGAATTCATATACTCTAATTATCTGGTGTGTCTCTTGTTACTCCTGAATCTACTGGTCTCCTTCTTCCCTCCCCCTTCCCTCTGTCCCTCTTTCAAGTTGTCTGTTGAACATTGGGTGGCTTGGCCTGCAGAGTGTCCCACTGTCTAGATCTTGCTAATTGGATACCTTAGGTCATTTACTATGTTCTGCCTCCTACATTCCTGTAAATTGGCAGTTAGTTCTAGGGGCTCTATCAGACTCTGGCAAGGGTACTTAACAAGTTGTTTTGGTGTATTTCTAAAGGAGCAAACCATTTCTGGCTGTTCTTTCTTTGTGATGTTAGTAGCCATGGATGCTCTCTGACTAGATCCACTACTTCAACCGCATTGTTGGAAAATGACACCCTAATTTGAAATTTCTTTGTACCGCCTTTAAGTTCGTAATTAGGCCTGCAGAAGAGATGACCTCCAATTCTCACTCAGCTGAGCTTTCATATACGATCCATTAACACCTCTTGATTGCATTTCCTAGACTAAATTAATGCTTCCTTTTGAAGCCAACACAAGCTTTCACTGACTGCAACTAAGCACTCTTGCTGATAGAATAAAACTGAAAGGTTCAGAGAAAACTAGACTTAAGCTTAGGACCACCTGCTCTTTGAGAGCCACTGTTAGAAGATGAAAGACAAGCTGCCACCAGAAGATATTTGCAAATCACATACCTGGCAAAGGGCTATTTAAAGAATTCTTTAAAGTTAATATTAGGAAACCAAACAACCCATCAAAGGAAAGTAATTGGCAAAAGATGTGAACAGACATTAAACCCAAGAAGGCATACAAGCTTGCCAGCTAGTAAGCCATGAAAATGTATCCAGTATCACTGGTCATGAAAATGAAAATAAATTCACAATAAGAAAATACAATATACTTACTGGGTGGCTAGTTTAGGTGGCACCGGCTAGAATCATTTAATAGATAGGAACCTCAATTGAGAAAATGCTCCCATAAGTTCGGGCTGCACGCAAGCTTGTAGTAATTTGATGGGGGAAGGCACCAGTGGTTGGTGTCATCCCTGGGCTTTGGTCCTGTGTTCTATAAGTAAACAGGCTGAGCAAGGCATGAAAAGCAAGCCAATAAGAAGCATTCTTCTCTGTCCTCTGCAGCACCTCCTGCTTCCAGGATCCTGCCCTGTTTGAGTCCCTTTCCTGGCTTCCTTCAATGATGAACACTGATGTGGAAGTGTAAGCCAAATAAACCCTTTCCTCCTCAAATTCTTTTAACCATGGTGTTTCATCACAGCAATAGCAACCTTGACTAAGACACTGGCTGTCAAAAAGGAAGATCATTGGTCATACCAATGGTTAGCAATAACATGTAGCAAGGCTCATTTATTGCCAATGGACAGGTAAAATGACACAGCACATTGGGAAAACAGCTATGATGGAGCCACTGATCTTTTAGATATTTATCCAAGAAAAATAAAATCATAAATCCACACACCAACCTGTACATGAATGGTCATAACTTTATTTACAACAGCCCCACAATGGAAATACCCATCAAAAAGTAAATGGATAAACCAACTGTGGTACATTCATTCATTCAATCTACCATCCTTGGCAATTAAATGTTACCTAAAAGGTGTGGCTATTTTGGGAAATGAAATTGGATTTATTGTTCTATCAAAGCAGTGAAAAAAAAAACCTCAATTGTTTTTTTTTGGGGGGGGGTTGTTTGTTTGTTTTGTTTTGTTTTTTTGTAATTTCAAATTAAGCACTAGGGATTGGGACTAGTATGTTGAAGCATCCACTGTCCATCAAACACTTCTGCTAAGAACTTCAGATTCATTACCTCTTTACCCTTTTTCATAATCTAGCAAAGGAGCTTAGTTGTTGCAGTTTCATAGATGGTAAAACTAAGGGTAGGAGGCCAAATAACTCATCCAACTTGAATCCCCCACAGAACAATAAAACAGAATCTTTAAACAATTTATTTATTCATGTATTTTATGTATATGGGCACTTTGTCTGCATGTACATCTCCACACCAGAAGAAGGCATCATGCAGTTGTGGGCTGCCATGTGGATGCTGGGAATTGTACTCAGGACCTTTGGAAGAACAAGTGCTCTTAACCACTGAGTCATCTCTCCAGTCCCTAAAACAGAATCTTTAATGAACCCTTTTTGTAGTATTTACAAAATGAAAAACACATCAGCAAGGCACGTGAGGCCTTGCAATGGATGGGCCAAGCCACCCATCTTACTTCAGGGCCATTGTTATTGCTTAACCAAGGTCTCCCAATCTTGCATCTCTATCCTAACACATGTGCCCACATCCATGTCAGGTAAGTCCTACTCACCCTTCAAAGACTCGTTCAAATATTTTCATCTCCCTCCCAATGGTTTCTCTCAGTTTCCCCCTGCTCTCTCAGTCCTCCCTTATCCGTTTTGTATGCAAATATCCTACTCTATCTTTATTATGATTATTGTCTATATATGAATACCTAGGCTGTGCTTTTTCAAAGATGAGCCTGGAATATTCTCTTATATTCCCCATTTGATCTAAGACAATGCTCTAGCAATGACAGGCTCAAATATTTGTTGAAAAGCACGGAAGGCACAGATGCTCACGACTCTAGTCTAGAACCTCTTGTGAGCAAGCCACATATGTATCATAAAAATCCTTCCATCCTTCAAAGGTGCCCCCAACTCTGGGTTTACCTAAAGCTACTAATTCCACAAGGTCAAGGTAGGAGAATGTTAATGTCACTAGGGCCTGACTTAATCTGTGATTGTACATTACTTCTATACAGTCTTATGTAACAATGAAAAGTGTAACTATGAAAATCAGCATGACTTAAATATTAAGTGAAAATGGGAGCTTGTACAGTCGATATTCATCACCAATGATTTACAAAGTAAAATAAGTACTTATTACTTTTTGGAGCTTACAATGAAGAATTAGTCAAATACATGGTGTTGTTAAATGGTAGGAAGTGGGATGAAGAAAAACCAAGCAGTCAAGGTGTGCTAGGACATCTGTGAAGGTGTCCAGGTAAAGTCTCCCTGAGGACAGAGATTTGAGCACAAACTTCAAGGGAATCAGATACTCAAATAAGAGTAAGTAAAAATGAAAGGTTATAGGAAGCTTATAAAATCACATGGATTATTTCATCTGGGACTCTGCCTTGATGAAAACAACACCGGGCCCTCTCAGTACAAGCAGGCACACACATTTAGGACGAGCACTGGCTCGCTGGAAAGGGCAGAAAGGGAGAGAAGCTTGAGAATGCAAAGCACAAGTCACTTTAGTCACCAGAACAAGGGTGACATTAAATCCTTGAAAGAGCAAACAACCTGTGCATCACTGTGGCCATTTAAACTTCATTCAAGATTTAAGACTGGGATTGTGAGGTGAGTTTTCACTTTTGAAACAGTAACACAGACTTCAGATCACGAACTGGACAGCAAAGGGGCAGTCACCTAGCATGGGGTGGGAATTCCAAAAAACATTGACTGACTGGATGAGACTATCTCCGAGGAGAGTGAGTCTCTCACCCCCTGCTGCATTTTAAGATAACACTGAACTGCATTGCTGCCAGCTGTTTTAAGCCCGTTAGTTTTCTGAACTTTCAAGTGTAATGAAATCCAGGACAGCAAGAGAATGAGGTTGCATAGCTCTGCAGTCAGTCTCGGTGGAAATCCACGCTTGACACTTTCTGGTTGTCTGTCCATGCCTCACTATAAAACATTGTTCTGTACCCCTAATGGGATTGCAGACAACTAAAAATGAGATGATGTACCAAAACAAACAAACACAAAACAAAACAAAAAACCCAACACAGTATCTAGCACACAATAACTTACCCACAATAAACACATGTATGAACTGTATTTGCTGTTCAGTATCATAAATACATAATACATGATCAACAGGAACATTTGTTAAATAGAACAATCACAGTTTTCTACACTTAACCAAGAGGTCAATTCAATCACACTTTTTCTCTATAAACTTCAGAGACAGTTTAAAATACTGTTTCCTCGAATTCATGTAAGTTAAAACTTCTGAGAATATTGAGAAAGTAACTCTAAAGGCAAGATAGCTAAGGGCATTTTCATAATGGTTGGAGTCACAGTAGACACAAATGTCATTTGACATCTCTTTGAAGACTGATCTTGTATAAACCCCAACTTCCAAGTCACACTAAGCCTTTTTTTTTTTTTTTTTAAGGACTGGAATCTGGAAAGGATAAGGCATAACGATGCTGGACACCTGCCCTGACCCAATCAGGTTAGGTGTTCAAAGTCCCAAGTAAGCATTTCTAAGTGCCATGCTTAAAAAGAAACAGGTGAAGACACTGCCCCGCGACAGCACCACCAGGAACCACACACCCGGGGTCCAGCGTGCACTGCCCACGGACAGCTCCCCGCTGGGGTGAACAGACCCCAGCGTTTCTACACCAGCAGCGGGAGGCGACAGGGGCGGCCGGCCAAAGTCGCCTCCCGCATTCCTGCCCGGGTCTATACTTAACCTCCGGCCCGCGCCCCGTGCCGCCGCGCCACGCCGTGCACCGTATTAGGCAATGCCCAGCGAGCGGCGGCCGGCCGCCCCGCCCCGCCCCGCTCCATTCAACCCTGCCGCGCCCCTCCCCCACGGCGCCGCGCGCCCCCGCCAAGCCGCGACCCCCCAGGGGCCCAGCGCTCGCGCTCTCGCTCGAAGCGCCCGGGCCACGCGCCCAGAGCGCTCCGACCCTGAGCGGCCGAGCGCCCGCTCTCCCTCTCCAAGTGCGCCCCCTGCGCCCCAGCCCTCAGCCGCCCACCACGCGCGCTCTCGCCCCATAAGACCCCCGCCCCGCCGCGCGCCTCCGCCTCGACCCCTTCATGCCTCTCAGCGCGTTCCCGTTCCACCCCATGTGCGCGCCCTCGCCGCGGCTCGACCCCCCCCAGCAGCCCCGCGAGCGCGCGTCCCCGCGTCCCCGAGCCCGGATCTCGGAGAGATGGCTCGACTGCGCGCGGAGCGTGGAAGGACCTTCGCGCGCACGTACCCGGCGGTCATGGCGATATTGTAGAAGGTGAGCCAGGCGGTAGCCAGGAAGCCTAGGCGTCTCCGCTTGCCGGTGGCTTCCTTCTCGTCGCCGGCCTCAGAGGCGCCATTGGTGCCGTCCTCCTCACTGGACGCCATGGTGACCGCGCACGCTGGCCTGGAGGAGCAGCGCGCAGGAGCGGGAGGGGTCGGCTGAGCGAGCCACTGAAGCGCCGCTGTCCGCTGCCGCCTCGGCCCAGCGCTCCATGTGCGACGCGCGGGGGGTCGGCGCCGCCAGCTCGGCCGCCCGCGAGGGGGAGGGGCGCGCCCCCGGCCGCACGCCCCGCCCCGGCGCCGCCTCTCGGGGGCGCGCACTCGGGGCCCCGACCCCGGGGTGGGCCAGCCCGGGTCACCGCTCCGAGGCGGTACTGCGCAGCGCGCTCCCGCGGAAGAGCTGTCCGCCCTGGCTGCGACCTCTTCCTAGAGAGACGCGGGCGACGCGCGTCCTGGCAATGGGTGCCCGGCTGGTACGCCTGTGCAGACAGAGCGAGCGCACTTGGAGTGGAGAGGGTTCTGCCCCGGGAGCAGGAGCTCCCCACCAAAGACTCAGACTTCCGAGCTCTGGACAAGCAGCGCCCGCCTAGCCTTGTCCCGTATTATTATTAGGCCAGATGGGTATGTGAGTTCTAGTGAGTCTTTTGTGAGCTCTAGCGAGTCTTTTCTAAAGTTGCAAAGGAAAGCTGGGGGAAAGGACATGGCAAATCCCGGATAAGTGTTAGGGTTCATACAGAAAACACAGACGCGGAGTTGACAAGTGCCCTCCCTGTCCTGTTGGGAAGAAATGTCCCTCTGCTGTCCACACGTAATCTCTCATTTTTCTCTCTTCCTTTCAAGAACCATCCTTCCGATAGCCCCCATTCCGTTTATAGCACGTGGATAAGAAAGAAGACTCCAGAGACAGCTTCTGAAAATTCAGGCCCCAAATTCCTGACACCGCCTGTCTGTGACTTGGTAGTTTATGTATGCCTAAGTTTCCTCAAATGAAAATAGAGTAACACTATATCCATCAAAAGCAGGTATTGATACATGTTACAGTCTGTCACCTTGAATATACATATAAATACTTTTTCTGGTGACCTTGCTTATAATCCAGAGAAAGGAATTTTGCAAAGGGCAACTGAAGGTGTTAGATAGTTCCTGAACGGGAGTCTAGACACTGGCAGAGGAGACAAATGACTCTACAGGCCAGGCCATGAGCCACTTACTCTCTGTGTGCACATCATCCTGGGCATGGAATAGGATCTGGGAGAGCTCATCGTGGCCAGGAGCATTATCCGCCCAATTTGGGAAATGTAGGGTGAGAAAAAAATCAAGTAAAACCTTCCAACAGGAAAATGTAATATAGATAAGTTACTGAAGAATGCTAGTCCTGCACACTGTGACACCTAATCACTGACACAAGACAGTGGACATACAGGAAACCCCACTGTGGGGCTAACAAGTTCCTTTCTCACTGGGAAGAAATGTCTCTCTGCTCTCCACACTTAACTCTCTTCATTTTTCTCTCTTCCTCTCAAGAATCATGCTTCTAATAGCCCTCTTCCCTTTCCCTTTCTAGCATGTGGCTAAAATAGCAGGAAAGAGGAAACAGAGAGAGGAACAGAGAGAATAAGACTTTAAGCCAGGACATGGTGGTGCACTCTTCTAGTCCCAGTACTTGGGAGGCAGAAGCAGGTGGATCTCTGTGAGTTCGAGACCAGCTGGTCTATAAGAGCAAGTTCCAAGACAGCCTCCAAAGCCACAAAGAACCCTGTCTCAACAAGATAAAAATAAAAAGGAAGAAAGAAAATAAGACTTTAAAACAATTGAACATAAAAATCTAAAAATCTATTCCAAAAAACAATTTTAAAATTGAAAAATATTTACAATACATTCATCTAGCAAGGGAGTCATAGCCAGATTATATAAGACTTTAAAATTCCATAAGACAGGGGCTGACAAGCTCAAAGTGCATGCTGTTCTTCCAGAGGACCTGAGTTTGATTCCTAGCACCCAGGTCAGGTGGTTCACAGTCCTGTAACTCTAGCTCCTGAGAATCCAAATCCCTTTTCTGGCTTCCTTGGATACACACACACACAACACACACACACACACACACACACACACACACCAGCAAATAAAGTAATTTTTAATTCAATAAGAGTCTGAATTTTTTAGCAAATAAAAGTATATACCACAAGGGGATTATGGAAATGGCGAGTGGTATATGCAGAGAGGCTTTCCCCCATTAACTATTTGGGAAATTTGAATTAAACCCACAGAGAGAACAACAGCACCATTAAAGTGGTTAACATTTCAAAGCGCTGGGCTAGGGTGTGCACCAATTGGCAATTGGCCTTTTCCACAATGCTAAAAGGAGCACCTCTTTGGAAAACACTTTATCAACTTATTTAAAAGATCAACACCTTTACTTGTCATATGGCCCAGCAATTCCCTCCTTTGTATTTAAACAAGGCAAATAAAAACATATGTGCACACAAAGAATTAGACACAGATATTCGTAACAGCTTTAGTCATAGTAGCACCGAACTAAAAATAACCCACACTTGAATGAATAGACAAATGGTAGTGTATTTGTTTAATAGGATATTACTCAGCAGTATAAAGAGGTAAGCAGCTGTCCATTCAACATAAATGAATCTTACAAACTTTATGCTGAGCTAAAGCAGCCAAATAAAATATATATTGTTCAATTTTTTTTAATGATACTAGAAAGGAAAACAACTACATCGACAACATTGCTTGAAGCTGATGATGTCTTTGGGGAGGACAGTCTAAAACCAAACAGGGACCCTGTTAATTGTGATTAGTTTTCACACTAAATGAAAAAAACAAATGGATTGACTTATGTATGAGTCACTACTTGGAGTTTATCTTAAAATACCTTGCATAATATTAAGTGATGACATGAAACTCAATATTATGGCAGAGGTGGGTTTTATTTTGTGGTTAATAATTTCCCTTTCGGCTATCCCTTTAAAAGCACTGAATTTGAGTTGATTCTTAGCCCTTTGGCTGAGATCAGTGCTAAACACAGAAGTTGACACAAGATTGTACCTTGTTTTCACAATAGTGATATTTCTTACAAAGTTCAAAATGTAAAATTCTGAAAAATAATTAAATACTTCAAAATAAATAGCATCAACGATTTATTAAACTGCCTTTTTGAAAATGAATAATTTGCTATGTACTAATTGTAAATAGATTATAACAATGAGTGAAAAAATTGAGAGTATATCCTCATGAAGCAGAATCTTAGAGGGAGGGGATAAGGAAAAATAGTCTTATAAGTAAACAAGGTATATTTTTCTATCTCCTTCCAGGGAGTTGATTTCATAATCTCTTTGCCTCTTATGGATGACAAGAAGGCCCCTTAAGACAGAATCTAGAATCTCCATCAGCATGGAATCAATCATAGAGATTTAGCTTGAGAGCTGGAACCCAAGACTTTCCAAGTGAAATCCTTCTGCTCTATAAATATTATGTTATAAGAACTTTGATGTAAATAATTGTATTATATTGGGCACTCCATATTTTGCTGCCCAGGTCCATAAAACTAATGTGGTGGTTGCTTGGTTGGGAGATAGAGGACCTGGCTATTCCTAGTCCCATATGTATATCCACCATGGTGCATGAATAATGGTTCTTATGTGTTTTAGCAGTCCTATGAAATATGTTTGTATTATATAGTTGAAATGTAATTTGTGACCTATATGTCCTCTGTACAAATCTAAGTTGCTGACTGAGGCATCTGTTACTGGTTCTTATGCTATCATTTACGTCCTTCCAGATTACCTTTATATTCCTTTCCTCAAACTATTTCTTTATTGCATGTGTTGCTATGTGTTCAAGGGCCTCCTGCAATTTTAGTATCTCCTCTTTTGTGATGGCTATCTCTTTACTGGGTTCTATTTTTCTCCATTCTCTTTCTAATTTTATCTTATTCTCTCCTGTAGGCACTGTTTTCCACTCCCCTTTTGGTCTAAGTGCTGCTGTGGCTAATCTATCTACTATATCAGTATTTTTACACATCTCTCCCTGTTTTTAGTATGTGCATTCATATGAAACACCATGATTTTTACTGTTTTTGCTATTTTGTCCAATTTTTTTCCATGTTTCTTTTGACCATATATCTTTCCTGTTTATTTTCCAATCAGTTAACCTCCATTTTCCAGACCAGATTGCTATGCCATTCGCCACTCATCAAGAGTAAATATATAGGTACATCACCTTGTAGTTGTCCTTTTTTTTTGAAGGTCTGGCTGCTAGTAATGCAGCTATTACTTCCATATTATATGTTGATTGCTGGGTACCAGAGTCACTTAGAACCAGTCCATCCCCTGCTCTGAAAGCTGCTGCTTTCCAATGGACTTTATTGTGTCTGGTGTTAACTGAACCATCAGTGAAACAGACAGTTACCAGGGAGGGATCATATTCCTGTGTTCCCCATTGCCCCATTGGTACCTATTTCTGGGGAGGGTTGTAGTTTGGGAAGGCAAAGCCTTCAGGAGTCATGGGGTAGTTGGACTGTAATATCAACTCCGACACCTTTGGTACTGACCCATTTGCAGATGTAGGTACATTCTTAAGGAACTCCACTAGGTACCATTTCCACTGGAGCACCTTTCCTTCCATGGGTAGTCCAGCCCATGCTTCTCCTAGTGCCTTAACCCAATCCAGAATGGGTTGAGCAGTGGACAATCTGGTTACGCCTTAGTGTTAAATGGACTGTTCTGAAGGCTTCATAAGCCATTCAGGTCGTTCTTTTGAACAAGGTGTATTTGTATTCTGACCATGGGAATCTTTTACAGTAGAATCCCACTGGGTGTGTGGCATCTCCATTTTTGCAAAAATGTTCCAATTGCCTTCATTGGTATCTGGTCTTTTTGTTCTGAAAACACATATTTTTTTAAAGTAACAAACCTCTGCATCAAAAAAGGTATGGTATGTGCAGTGCGCACAAGTAGTTAAAGCTGATTCTCTACTCTATGTTTGAGCAAATAAAAGACATCTGTCAATTTTGTAAGTCTGATTGGACTGCATACACAAACTGTAATGTAAATCACCATCCATGCCATATGAAAGGGTGGCATGTAATAATTAGTTATACAGACACTGTAACAACAATATTTTTCATGCCTCATCCAGTATCAGAGCTGTTCCCATGTAGAAGGTTCAGCAGATAAATCACCTGTCTTGTAGTTTTTCTTGGTTTGTTTCATCAAGTTTGTGGCCAAG